CATAAAATCTATGGAGGCCCAAGTTCCATTGTATTTCACAGACATTAAATGCTCAATATAACCCTAATGAAGTTAGCTTCTTTGGCTCCAATATTGAAAAAAAAGTTTGATATTGGCGTCTGGTGCATATTTAATTTAATTACCCAAAGAAAATGATGGAATGTCAGCTGCTGAAATTTATAGCCAGCTGCCAAAGAGATCCCTTTGGCGGGATTTTATGCAAAAATGCCATCAGCGGTGTGGGGGAGCAAACTGTCTATTTATTCTGAAACAAGAAAATTAAATTGATGACCCCACTAATCAATCAGAACATGAAAAGCCAGAATGAACAGCTTCAAAATTCTCCAATGACTCCGATTTATAGGGCACCTTTCACCAAAGGTCCCAGAGCCTTCCTAACATCAATTAAGCCACTTAACTAGGTTGGGATTATCTCCTCCACCAGCTAAATGAGGGAGCAGAGGAGGCTCCAAGGGGAGGTGGGGGGAAGGGCAGCTTGCTTCATGCCACAAAGGAGTTCAACCTCCCTAGGCTTCAGTTTCCTTCTCTGTAAAATGAGGTCTTTTGACTAAATAATTTCTAATTTTTGCTCACAATGGGGCAAGATTAGGAAAGGAATCCATTCTTGATTTTGAGCTTTGGGTGAACAGACTTGTGTTTTTATTCATGTCAGCATGCAAGTAGCAATTCATTGGGTCAAGGCTGCATATGAAACGACTGGGGCCAGAATGCGATAGATGGACTAAGAAAATAGGGAGGGGTGATGAAGGGATGGCAGATCACAATAAGCAGAAAGACCAAGTTGAGTGTGAGAGCAGGGGAGAGAGAGAGGAGAGGAGGCTGAGGCCAGAGTGGTTTTCAATAGTCTAGTGCTTGAAAAAGGTACAAGGCCAGGAGAAAACCAGATTAAAGAGTGAATCTTTCAGTGTGTGGCTGAAGTGAAACGGAGGAGGTCATTGGAGCTGAAAAATTGGAGGAAGAGATCTCAGTCTTGATGATGGCAGGAGATGGGGTGGAGAGGAAGATGGTGAGCCAAGTGCTAAAGTCATAGAAAAAGCTGAGAGAATGACCTGGAGGCCAATAGACAACAGGAACCAGGGTGGGGAGATGTGGTACATGCAGATTAGGTGGACCTCAAAAGGAGAGAGGTCATGGAAGGACAATAATATAGGAAGGAAAGGTCTCAAAGCAACTGAGCCTTGTGAGTCAGTGAAGGGGTTGGCCACCAGTGGAGAGAGTTGGGTGGAATTTGCATCTTCAGAAGAGCTAAGGAAGGGGTGATGGTTGAAAAATTTGAGGATGTGGCATTTTGTGGACAAGAAAGAGGAGGTTTTGGAGGGCCCAGTGGAAGGGGTTAGATCATGAGGGAACTGGGTTAGGGTGGCCTGGAAAGAAGGAGGAGAGATTTAAGGGGTTACAGAGCTCAACAGGAGAGTGTGGTCCTGCTACGTGCACCTCAGGTAATAAGACAGGGTGAGCAGGACTGGGAAGGTAGGTTAACATGGCACCCTCACTTAGCAGCCCTTCACCAAGAGGATTTGCTGGGTTAATCGGCCCTAATTATTCAAGATGGAGTTTGTTTTGATGTGGACCTCCACACATACAGCTTCTCCTCCAGGGACATTTCTGTCCTTGACGGAGAGCCCAGCTTCCAGGCAGTGTGGACAAAGGCTTCCTTAGGACTCCCAGCCTCCACAGGATTTTTCCTCCAGATGTGCATCTGCCCCTCCCCGGTTCCCTCCCGCTGCTTCTCAGTCCAGTGAGGAGGCCTTCCTTCCACCCACAGCCCACAGGGATTAGCTGCATCTCTAACTGGAAACACATAAAAGCTTCCCAGCTAACATAGCCCTGACTGCCTCAGTTAACCATGTCCTTCCCCATCACATTTCACGCCCATTCTCCCAGCCCTCTAGTTTTTGGATACCTCCCGATTCTCTCTGCCTTGACACTGTGACATCCCATGGCACGTTCGGGTTTACAAAGCACATTTCTTACCAGGTTTGTAGGTAGCGCAGGCATTATCTCCAGCTCACAGATGAGGAAAGTTATCACTTACCCCAGAGTCCTAACGCAGGATTCAAATTCGCCTCCTTGCCTGTCCAGCTTCCCGCCCACTCTGTCCTCGGGCATTTGCACTCTCTGGCTTCTCACCTGCCTCCCTTGCGTCAGCCATCCCTGCTCACCCTGACCTTCGCTTTGGATGGACGCTCTGACACCCCCCTATCAACCTTGACTCCACAAATCTGCCTGTTCCCAATTTGTTTCTCCCACCAATAGCTCTTCACTTTGCAAGCTCAGACCACCCACTGCCTCCCATGCCCCAGGATAGAGGAGAACTTTGTTTAAGTTCAATTCAACAAGCATTTATTAGGCACTCACTGCAAGCAAGGCACTGTCCTATGCACTTGTAATACAAAGATAAAACTGTAACTGCCCTCAATGAGCTTGCAGTCTACTAAGGGATTACAACATTTATGCAAATACACAAAGAACAAAAAAATGGAGGCACTATATGGGGGTAGGGTGGGGACAGCAGGATCCCAGAGGGCTTCACAAAAGAGATGGACCTTGAAGGCAGAGGGCTTCAAGAGGTAGAGATGTAGAGGGAGAATGCTACAGGTAGGAGGGACGGCTGATAGATCTGCATGTGGTCAGGAGATGGAATTTTGTATTTGAAGAAAAGCTAGTACTTCCATTTGGCAGAAACATAGACTCTGAATGTTGCATGAAATCAGGCTGGAAAGGTAAGTCAAAGTGAGATTGTGGAGGGTCCCAAATAATGTTAACAATTAGCATTTATATAACACTTTAAGGTTCTGGCCCTCATAATCATCTTAGAAAGTAGGTGTTATCATCCCCAGCTTAGAGACGAGAAAACTGAGGCTGCGACAGATTAAGTGATTTAGCTAGTATCTGAGGCAGAATTTGAACTCGGGTCTTCCCGACTCCAAGCCTTGCTCTTCAGCTGCCCCCTTGATACCAGGTGGTTTGTGATTTATCCTGTAAGGAGGGGCCACTGAACGTTTCTGAACAGAAGCCGCATGGTTAGAACTTTGCCTGAGGCAAACTATTTTGGGTGCTATGTGCAATACATCAATCAGGCAAGGGAGAAACCCATTGGGGACATGAGATGGTGCCTAAGGAGATGAGTGAAGGGAGCTTACAGAGGGTCAGCAAAGCTTGACAACTGGCTGGACCAGGGTGGTTGGGAAGGGATCAGAATGACTCAGGGCTGCAGAGGCCACTGAATCCAAGCCCCACCATGTAACAGATGAGATAACTGAGGCAGACGGAGGTTCAGAGGGTCACCCAGCTGGCGTCCGAGGCAAGTCTTGAATTCAGCACTCTACTATCCACTGCACCACTTACCTGACTCATAACTTAAAAGTTAGGGGGGAAGATTCAGTGCGACCCTGATCACCGTACAGAGCTGAGAGACGTGTTTGCAGCATGGGGAAAGGCTCACCATGGACCTTCTCACTCAGAGGTGAGGGCTTCTGCTGATGAGGTGAAGGAAGCCTTAGAAGCTTTGCGGCGATCAGGGCAGGCCCAAATGAGATGACCTGAATTTTGTCCAGCCCTGGTCCTCGGTGGGTCAGGAGCACTATGGGATGGCATGACCAAAGGTTGAGTGAGGCTTGATTGGGTGTAAATGTGGTAGCGCTCCAGAACTGATGGAGGATGCATGCTGATGGAGGGCAGGTGTGACCAGGACAAAGGTGAAGGCCTAGGAGAACTGGGAGGGATGGAGGAATGAACGGGGTTAGAGGAAATGATGGGGAGACAGAGGGTGGGATGGGGGGCGTGGAGAGGAGCTCATACAGGACTGCCCCAGGAGGTGACTGTGGGGGAGCAGGGGGGCCAACCCATGCCATGTGGCTTGGCTGCCAACATAACCAGAACAAAGGCCTCATTTCTTATGAGCTTGCTCCCCATGGGAGTTACAAAATAGATCTTCAGAGGGAGGAAAAAGCCAGTGCGGTCTTCGAACAACTTTTTAAACATTTATGATGCACCAAAATACCCGCACACAGCAGAGCGCCCACTCTGGCTCCAGCTGCTCTGATGGTCCTAAGCTGACAAGATGCAAAACCGGCCAACTTGACTCGGTCCTTTCAGGGTTAACCTGGGTGAGCTGAACCACTGAGCTTCCTTGCTTTCTCCCTCAGGAGATGCCCATAGGGAGAGCCGTTCTCACAAAGGGATGCTGCGCAGCGTTGAGACAGCCTGCTTCTGCCACACCCGCTGACTCAGACCAGTCCTGGGCCTCAGCTCCCCCATCTGTAGATTGGGAATAATAAAACCCACACCATATGCTTCCTAAGGCCTGGAGGTCAAATTATATAATGTAGGTCAAGCATTTTGTGACAGAAAAGTGTTACCAAATGTGAGCCATTATTGTGCTACCTGCCCTGACACTTAACCGGCTAAGCATGGAGACCCCTCTGAGCCTCAGTTTCCTCATCTATAAAACCAGGATCATATAATCATCCGAGGTACCTCCGAGGGCAGCTGCGAGGGAAGCACCTGACACACTTATGTGCTGCCTCATCCCAGAGGTGACCCTGGTTTTAAAGCCTTGATGCCAGGGGAGCACAACTCTTGGCAGGCTCTCAAATAAGCCCGGTGATGGGCAGTCTGCCTGCTGTCCATGGATCAGAGAGATTCACCAGAGGGTCGGAGGCAGGGTGAAGAATTTCACCATCACTCATGAAAACTCCTGACTAAAGCTCAGAGAAGCCGCAATCTTTATCACTGGAGGGTACATGCACAGATGAGGAGCGTCATCCCGCAATGCTCCAGGGTGGATGGAGACAACCTCGGGGTCCTGAAGGCTATGTCTGAATACATGTGTATTTGTGCGTGTGTGTGCAAGCACTCTCGTGGGGGGAGAGAACACACAGCTCAAACCATTAAGCAAAGTCATAAATAACCTTCCCCGCCCATCTCCCCAAACTCTCAGATTTGATTTCTCAAAAGCACGAAATGTGTCTCAGTGCCAGGCTTAAGGTTGTCAGTACTTTATTATTGATTTTATTAGAGAATTAGAAAACATTCAAAAATGATGTCTGGAACCAAGAATTAACTTAAAAAGGGAAATGTGAATCTTCCCATAAAAGACATTCTGGCACTTATACAATTTTTAAAAAATTGTCTGAAATCAGCTGTCCAAGCTTTCCATGGCATCTGCAATGGGGACGAGTTCTGTGACTTTGGGTAACCGCCTGTCTCAAACCATGACCCGTGGCAGCTTCATCATTTCTTCTTCAGTATCTCGATCATCTCAGGAACTACCTGCAAGTGAAAACCAAACAGGAAACTCAGACACTGAAGGAATGATGCGGCCCGGCTTCACAGCCCAGGGAACCGTGCTGCCCTCACCCTGCCCAGCAAGGGAGGACACAGGCAGCAACGTGGGACTCTAAGTGCTCTGCTAGACAAAGAAACTGGATGAGAAATGGTTTGCAAAAAGAATTTCTTTTCTAGGCTGTGTCCACTGAGAGACCACACAAGATACGTGTGCGTTCATGCTACCTGGAAGCCCCTACCTCCTGCTCACACTACCCAGGCATCAACGCAGAGCCTTTCCCGATCCTCCTAGGCAGCACTGAGCAACCCGCTCTCCTCCAGCGCTTAGAAGTGTTATTAAACACATGCTGCATGCAAAGCCCTCACTCACAGAGCTCACAGTCTAGGACAGATCACTACATTACAAACGATGCCAAAGGGAGCAGAGCACGAGGCCTAGCGCCACCCTAAGAGGGGGGCAAAGGGAAGGCTTTGGGCAGGAGGTGCCCTCTGAGCAGGGCATGAAGGGAGAAGGAAGGCTGGTGAGAAGACAGGAAAGCCCGGGGCACCCTGTCTGGCTGAGGCCTTGAGCAGGGAGAGGGAAAGCCCAGGAGATAAGGGCTGGAAAGGTATCACTACATGGCACGTACATCCGTCATCTCACTGGAGCCTCAGCACCCCCTGGAAGTAGTGCCGGCATTCAGAGCCGAGTTAACAGAGGCCACACTGGGCTAGAATGTAGCGGGGCCAGGTGGCCGAGGTACAGAGACAAAAAAGAGGCACCAGGAAGGGCCTGCAGAGATGGGCTCACTTTCTACCGGGCTCCTCTGGCTATCCCAAACTGCCAGCGGATTAACCACTAGCCTTCAAGGCAAAAGACATGCACGGAGATCACCAGGCTATCCTGGCTGCCCATCCAGCCATGGATCCCCTGGGGGCAAGGGACTTCTTCCGCTCTCCTGACACAGAGGAGAGGGCTATGCAGAAACACTCGTTCCAGTGACCAGTCTGTGCATGTGGGGACGGAGTAAGAAATCAGCTGCAACCGTAAACATCTTAAAAGGCTCCAACAATCCCAACTGCCTCCACCCTCCGAAGGGTGCCGGGGCGGGCATCACCTCCTGAGACAGCTCCTTGGATGCCTCAGGCCTCCCCTGGACACCCTGAAGTAGTAAACTGGAAAGAAAGCATTCAATTCCAGGGCGTTTTCTACAGTGTAAACTCCCGGAGCTGACATCAGGAGACTCAGAAATGCGATCACAATAACCCACTGGACACCAGGACTTCTAAGAGCCTTCTGTAACTCTGGGAACAAATGTAGTTCCAAACTATCCGGTGACCTCAGCCAGCATTTTGATTTCACTGCTAGTTTCTCTTACTCTGCTTTGGGCGGAGCCAAGAGGGCCCCCAGAGCCAGAGTCCAGTCCTCAGGAAGCTGCAGCCCAGGGGGGACATGTCCCGTCTGAAGTCGCACAATCCAGTGAGTGGCAGAGCCTGGCCTTGAAGTCAGACCTTCCAACTGCCAAGTCCCAAGCTCACTCCACCAGGCCGCCAGAGACCAGCGGGCATCAATGGGATTGTTCCAACCGCTGCATCCTGTTCATGTACCAAGCCCTGGTGTGCTGCGGAGCCCTGCCGCCTGCAGCCCGAGAGGCCTGTCTGGGGGCTCGGCAGGAGCGCTGGCACTAGAGCCCGTGGGCCAGTGGGTCAACAGCGGATGCCTGCGATGTGGAATATGCCTGAAAACTGAGCCTGGTGGCTCCGGGAAACTATCAGTTACCTTGTCTTTCCCAGGGCTGTGGGCTGCCCCAGCTCACAAAGATCCCGGCTGAACTCACCACCGAGGAAGATGCTTCTCAATTATTTAAGAGAGCTACATTTCCATTTGGTGGAAATAATGCGTTCGTACAAAATTTATTAAGGAAATTGTCGACATGTTGTTGGTTCCGAATGTCGCTTTGTCTCCAGCTCACTGAAAGGCCCACATTTGTGCCGGGGCCGGCAGGCGCTCACTCGGGGATTGCACTAAGTGCTGGCACACTTTCTCTGCCCGCTCCTTGGTGCACAGACCATGAGCTCATTCATACCAACCACACAAGCTACATGCCGATCGATCTGTAGGTTGCAATGCCCAAGGCTGGCACAACTTCATGATAAGCATGATGGAGCCTCCTCTTCTATAAAAATCTTTTTTTTTTTTTTTGTGCAGAAACTATTTTTTTTTCTCTGCCTGTCTTTGCTGAAGTGGTAAAACATTCACAGGAGTTGTTCTCTCCTTGATGGACATTATTAGAATTATACTAAGGGGAGCTATAGAGTGGCTGATTTGGGGAAAAGAAGATGGTGACATTTACATTCACAATGAAAAAAAGCATTTTTAAAAAACAAAGAAAAATGATGCCTCTCTGAGCACTAAGGGCTTCTCTGCTCATCCGAAAGGTGCTGATGGATGGGTCCCTTTGCCTCCTTCAGCCTGTTTCCGTAGCTGAAAACTGGAATACTACGTGTCACCCTCTCTGGCTGGGTTAGTGTGAGGAAAGCACCTTGGAAACGCTGCTGTGCTCGGATGATTTATTGATATTGTTGTCATTTAAACGATCTTTGTAGATATGATGGGGAGGTGATCATGACAACCAACGAGGATAGTCAACGAGTCTTTGATGAAGGGCCAGCTCTGTGCCATGGGGGGGCAGAGGGGTAAAAAGCCCACAAACCTAGCAATATGTAAGCTGCTGACGGGAATCCCATGCACTCGGCACATTTTTACTGAGCCCTGAGGACAGATTCAGTCCTAGCCCACCAGACATTAGACTGATGGGGTCTCCGAGCTCTGAAGCCTTGGTTCCCCATCTACAAAATAAGAGAGCTGGACAATGAAGTTCCAAACCATATGATCCTTTAAAAAAAGTATCAGACGTGGCAGCTCCTGTCCTCAAGAGTTCACTAGAGCAGGTAGGGCCCAAGGGGTTCTTTTAAATGGAACCAGGCCAGTGTTGTTGTGGAAAGCTGCTCGAAAGCTCAGAAGCGTCTAGCGTTAGTCAGGCCGGAGGTGGGGTGAGGGTGAGAATTCCGGTCTGGCCCTTCCCTGAAAGGCCGTCTGGAAGATGACGTCCATCGGCAGGGATGCCGAGCACGTGCAAAGGGATGAGGTGGAAAGAGTCCCTCACGATGCTCCTGTACTTTTATCACAGTAATAAGCGTTCACTAGGAAAGGAATGATGATTTCCCAGGGGGAACTCCCACTGGTGGAGTGGAGGAACTGTCTCCTCCGGGGTAGCTCACAACCAGTAATCAATGACTCAGCAGACAAGAGGCCCAAAGAAGTGACTTATTTACGAGTCATCCATTTAGTTTCTGTCAGAGAACATCTGAACCCAGGTCTCACTAGCTCTTAGGACCAGCACGCTATCCACTGTACTACCCTGTCTCCTGACTTCCAGCATGTGAAAGACTATCATATGGAAGAGGGACTGGGCTTGTTCTGCTTTGCCCCAGAAGACAGAGGTGGAAGTGGGAGAGGGGCTTGAAGAAAACTTCCTGAAAGGCAGAGTTATGCCCTTGTAGACCGGGCTGCCCGTCCTGGAGGCCTCTGAGCCAAAGCCGGATGCCCCTCTGTCAGGGCAGGTGAGGATGGGAACCATATGGTCTGAGGTAAGCAGGACTTGTTTCATCCCTCCTACGTAATGACAGATCTACTGGGCACCCCTCAATCTTGTCTTGTCCAGGCTAGACATGCCAATCGCCTGCCCTCACATCTTGATTTCCAGGTCTGTCTAGAGACCAGAAATTTGCAGAAACAGAGGGTGAGCAAAGGAAAGAGGGGGAGAATTCTTCCTCCATTTATGATAGACCCTGCCATCTGAACCAGGCCAGCAGAAACAACTGGATGCCAGCTGCCCAGAGGAATGCCCTGCCCTGGAGTAACCTCCTGAAGCCCCATGTGGCTCATATGTGAGACGGTAAATACACAAGGGCCACCCGAGTGAGGTCTGGAGCAGCCAGCAAGGCATTTCTCAGAGTCCTCCCATGCCTGGAAACAGGAGCTAATTCCATTCAGGAAAAGGTCTCTTTGCTACCAGGTGGTGGTTTCTAACTCAGGCCCTTCAATGGGCCCTCATCTGGCCAATCCTTTCCTAAAAAGTGGCCCCCTTTTTCCCTTTTGTTCTGATTCTTCTTTCACAATATAACTAATTTGGAAATATGTTTAATGTGATTGTACATGTATAACCTATATCAGATTGCTTGCCACCTCGGAGAGTGACGAGGGAAGGAGAAAAATTTGGAACTTAAAATCTTACAAAGTGAATGCTGAAAACTATCTTAAGATGTAACTGGAAAAATAAAATACTATTAAGTGGAAAAACAAAAACAAAAAACAACAGAAAAAGTGGCCCCCACAGTACTTCCACAGGGGTTTGGTGGGGGGGGAAGCATTAGTACCAAGGTAGAGCATAACAGAATGGCCTTTCCCTCTCCTCAGATGGCTCAGGATGGAGTTAGCCTGTCTAGCTTTTGCCCTCAGACTGCACTTGGCCTAATTTACACTACTGAATAGCCTGGGTTCAAATAGGCTGCATATATTAGAAGGCTTCATAGAGAAGTATTCATGCTGGGCCCTGGAGGATGGACAGGATTCAGAAAGAGAAGGTAGGAGAGCTGAAAAAGACCTTAGAGATCATTTAGTCCTACTCCCTAATTCTACTGAGGAGAAACTGAGTCCTGAAGAGGGGAAGGGTCTCCCCAAGGTCATACAGCAAATCGGGGGCAGAAATTTGGGTCATGGGATATAAGAATTGGAAAATGCCTTAGAGACAATCTGGTCTAACCATCTCAGTTTTCCAGATGAAGACAATGAAGCCCAGAGAAGGCAAGGGCCCTGTACCAAGGCCCAGAGGGAGAGCCCATGGTGGGATCTGCATCCGGGGTTTCTCACTCTCAGCCCCCCTGGACACATGAGGAAGCTGCAGCTCAGAGAGGGGAGGAGGGGTCATGAGCTTGCAAGGGAAGAGCCAGGAATGGCTCTCAGCTCCTTGGCTTCTCACCACTGCTAAAGCAGAATCCAAATACAGGAAATGGTGCAAACATCACACCCTAGGTAGACAAGAAATGTGCTTTCAGGGCTGGTCTCCCAATAGCCAGCTGCTGACACTCTAGCCTTCCTCAAGTTACCTGTCTTTACTTATTTGAGGCAACCTGTTTCCCCTCCAGGAGGAGGGAGGCTCCTAGAGGGTAAAGACTTTCATTTTGTCTTTGTATCTCAGCACCTGGCACAATGCCAGAGCTGCCTAACAGCAGGTTGAACTGAATTAAATACACACAGATAAAGCAGGCCCTCAAAGACCACTACAGGACAGCGTCTATCCCAGTCGTCTTGCCGGCCCTCACCCTGCCAGCCCACATAATTTAACAGAGCATAATGCAGCAACAAACGTTTAATTTAATTTCATTTTTCAATGAATGAATCAAACTGTCTCCTAATCTTCTACTCCCACAACTCCACTTTACCAAAAAAAAAAAGTCAGCCTTGTAAATAAGTATGAAAAAACTCACAGGGTCCAGCATTTTTTCAACAGCCTTCCTTTCCCACTGAGACATGACCAGAAGCCAAAGGAATGAGAGCAACATTTTTCTCAACTCACAGAGCAAAACCAACCAGCTCTGGGCCAATACGCAGACATCCCAAGGCTGAACAAAGTGAACTGCATATTTTTTGGCAAGATTTAGTCTTATGCTAAATATGGCTGCCCTGGATGATTTCCTAGGAAAATGTTACAGTGTTTTTAATGACCCCAAAGCTTCTCCCTGAAACAAAGGCCCAGCTTTTTAACCATCTTCTTCCATCGGCACTGAAGGCCGAATCACGGAAGGCAGCCATCCAGTCTGGCCGCAACAGGTGGAAGCAGGGCAGAGGTGGCATCCTTGGAGGTGGGCTGGCCAAGTGGCACAAGAGTCAGGCAATGCAGAGGCCATGAAACCACATGAGACTGAAGAACTGGAATGAAGCAATGTGTAAACATCTCAAAAGGGGGCAGTCACCAGTCCAATGGGTGGTCCCTTTGTGGAAAATGGATGGAAAGGGGGCTGCAGAGAATGAAAAGCCATTCACCCTGCCCAGAGGCCTGCATCCTCTGAACCATATTCCAGGAAGGATGCTGTTCAACTAGAGTGGGTCTGGAGGAAGGCCACCAAGATGGAGAATGAGGTCACTGTGTGACCCCAAAAAGGCTACTTCCCTTCTGGGGCTTTGGTTTTTTCCGTACAATGATCTCTGAAGCACTCAGCTTCACACCACACATTGGCCTGATGACGGGTAATACTATACCATACCTAAGAGCTAACCACTCATGAAGCAGTGGTCTCAAAATACAGGAATGGTGTAAGGGAAAGTTGAGGAGACTGGAGCTCTGCCCTAACTGGTGGGTGGCTCAGGATGGTTCTGCTCTTTCTGGTCCCCCTACCTGACATGGTCTGAATCAGATGACCTCCATGGCCTTATCTAGCTGCAATATTCTATAATCTTCTTGCAGGAATTTAGTAAATTAGATTAAGTATCTGCACACTACCCCAATGCTTAACTTAGAGTCCTTCTTCCAGGGAAAAATGAGAACATTCCAGAAAAAGCAATTCAGTTTCTCCTGAAAACTTCCATGAGGTCCTGATGGCCTCAAAGTTCTGACCATGGATATGACCCTCTTCACATGAAAGCTGACTCACCTTAAATAAATCTGCAACGATTCCCAAGTCTGCCACTTGGAAAATTGGGGCCTCTGGATCCTTGTTAATAGCCACAATCGTCTGTAAAACAAGAGAAGAACAAGCCCAGATTTACCTCTCTATCTCAGTGAGGGCTGGGGAGAAGCAGAATAGGGGAAGTGCTCATGCCCTCTCATCCTGTGTGACTCTCGTTATCGCATTCCTGTAGAAACTTCAGGATCTTTATGTGAAAGGCAACGTGGAGTGGTGGAGAGAGGCAGGAAGAGAGGAGGTTCAAATCTCATCTCCCACATTTCACAACTTGACCGTGGACAGGTCTCTCCAGCTCTCGCAGAATCACTGAGCTCTAGTACACACCTCCCAGAGTTTTTATGAAATAGGATCCACCATTACTATTGTCTGTGGGATTCTAGCAGCTTGATGAAAGAACATGGGCGCAGTGTGCACTAGCTGGATCAGTACCAGGAAGGAGAGGAGGCAGCAGCGTCTACTTCACCAACCACCCCAACCTAGGGCTTCTTCCCACCTCAGGGTCACCCTGCAGCACTTGGGGTCTCTGATTCCCGCCCGTCCTCGACATAATCGGGACACGTCCCCTTCCAAGCATGTCTGTTCTTGGTGATGCCTTCTTTGCCCCCTTTTCTGTACAAGTCATCACTAGAGACACCCTCGTTTCCATTACGTTCTCTATTTTAGTTGCCTTTTCAGTTGTTTTCTCTTTTCACAATTATTTCATCCTTAAAATACCAAATAACTAAGACACCTGAGGACTCATTAATAGTAATATAATTTTTAAAGAATAAAACTATTATTCTTCATCCCTCCACAACCGCCTCTATTCACAACTCTCATGATAAACAACAGCTTTATCTGAAATAGAGCACACAACTTGAAGGTCTGGTTTGCTATACTTTACAAAGCCAAATAGACTAAATGTCCTGGGCAGGACACATCCCATTCAGTCAGTTTCTGCCAAACACATCATACCATGTATCGGTTGTTATCGAACAGCATCTGCCATGAGTGGACACAGACTATCTTTACAAGAACAATAAAACGTAAATGCTGCCTTTGTAGCAAGACTCAAGGTGAGCCAAGAGACCCAGCCTGCGTGCTGTGCCGGGTCTACAAAGAGGCACAAGGCCAGAAGACTCCAGCACGGTGGGAGGGTCCTCTAGGGGGGATTTCCTGAACGGCCTGACGGCGGCCACAGCTTGACAGAATGAGGGGGCCTAGTCAGCCACACTGGTGACATCACAGAGCCACATACTAGTTCTACTACAAAAAAGAATGTTCTCTGTTAAATGATATACAATAACGAGGAAAGACTCCTCTTCCTCTCTTCAAAGACGCATATTTTAACTGCACAAATTCAAACAGAAGATGAATTGAGGACAAGAGACAAACTTCCCAAGGTGACGGATCCTTTTTTGTTTTCCCTTTTGCAATTCCAGGATTAAAATCTGGGTCATAACCATACACGGAAGAAGAGTTTAGAGTCTGAGGGGGCAGCACATTCTGATTAGGCAAATGGGAAGAACCTGATGCCCACCAAGTGGTTGCAGTAGGGCCGCCGAGCCCCACGATGGCACCCATGGCATGCTGGGAGAATCAGGGTCTTGGGGGTGGCTACTCTATGAAAAGGCAGAGAAAATAACCCAAGAGAACAGCAATGTGCCCACACTGTGGGGACCACTGAGCCATCAATGTAAAGAGTATAAACAAACCAGAAGCCACATCACAAAAACAGAACTGCCCTGACCATCCCATCACGCAGGAGAGAGAGGAGGGCCACTGCGCCTCCCCTTCTGCTGACCACTCACAGGAACAGGTCTGATTGGCCACTCTGCCCCGGATGCACCACCTCAGAAACACTTCCCAGAATCTCTGAGCCTTATTAGTGCCTCCCTCCTTTCCAAGCTCATTCTCTTTCTTCTCCTCTCAGATCTGGTCATCACAGGCCCTGTAGCTGGATTCTAAGTTTTCACAGAAAAGACCAGAAGCCAGTTGGAGCCAAGCACTCTAGCATGCCATTTTTAGCAAAAGAGTCGTGTGAAGTTATCCAGTCCAGCCTGCACCAGACCCCCAGAGGAGCCCACTCTACACCATGTCAAGGTCTCACTTGTGGACAGTTCTCATGATTAGGCCCACATGTCTACCTCTCTGCAATTTCCACCGAGGGGAAGTCACGTACCTGACAGTCCTTCAAGGGCTTAAGAGGAAGGCAGCTTGGCCCAGAATGTTCACCTGGAGTCAGAGGAGACCTCGATTAAAATCCCATCCAACATAACTCCTTGTTTTCTGACAGTGGTCAAACTCAAACTTCAGCAGGCCTCAGTATTTGTATCAGTAAAATAGAAATAGCACCAGTATTTACCTCAGGGAAGCCTGAGAGGTGATGGTAAGAGGCAGAGTGAGGGGAGAGAAAGGAAAAGGAAACTCATAATGGAGAAGGGGAGAGGGGCTGCTACAGAGGTGGGAGTGGGGAGGGGAAGGGTACCGAGTGACTGGGAAGGGGATCTAACAAAGGAGGGCGGAGGGTCCAAGGGCTGGGCTGGCTCACTACAGGGAAGGACAGGCAGCAGATCAGAACCCACTTTTGATTAAGACTGGAATGAAGGAGGAGAGGGGGCCTAGTGCGGCAGTGAAACCTGCAGGAAGAAGCTGAAAGGCACGTCCTAGAGAAGGGCCCGGAGGGGCATCAAGGAGCCTCCCTCCGCCATAGCCTGGCCTAGGATGCAGGCTGCGCCCGAGTTGAGATGGAAGGAGCATGCGCCCCAAACAACTAGGATGATGCCACTCAGCCACCCAGGACTTATTTTCTCTCCCCAGACTTGGTTCCTCAGGTAGGAAACCTGGAGGGCATCTTCCTCTCATCCCCCCACTGCACCAATTCCATCTCTAGTTACAGCCTCTGGCTGGGTCTCCTTGTCTCCTCTCTCTCCATTCCAGGCTACCCTCACCTCCCCACCAAAGGCCAGAGCAGATCCTGTCACTGCCCTCACTAAGAGACTTCAATGACTCCCTATCACCTTAAGGACCAAGAGAAGGCCCTCTGTGGAGCCTGGCTCCAACTTCCCTTTCCGCCTCCCTCTCCTGCCCTTGGTGATGCAGCCAACCCGACCTAGAGGGCCTGCCTTGCTCAGCTCTGCCTGCAGAAGCCCTCTTAAGCAGCACCCCCCGTAAAGCTTTCTCCCACCCCCAGCCACCTCGTCTTCATGCATTGAGCCTTTTTCGTTCTGTCCACATGTGCTTGCCACTGGCCTTCCTAGATCAGCAGGGAATTGTTTCATTCTTTGGATCTGTATTCCCAGTGCCATGCACAATCTCTGGTACACAGCAGATGCTTCATAAATGTTTGGTGACTGACTGATGAACGAAGACAAAGGCAGACATCGTCTTGACAGGAAGAGGCCTGGAATCCAAGGCTCCTGTCCTTGGCAAGATCCTGGAGGGGAGAGGCCTGGGGTGGGAGCTTTGGACCCTGAGGAGCTCTGATCCAGCACCCCCAGCCCCTCCTCAGGCCTTGGTCAATAGGGATGGAGGTGCGCTGTCCAAGCCATCGAGATGGAGGACAGTGTGACCTCACCCCTCGGGGCACCTTGAACCTGAAGTCCATTAAAATGTCTCGAACTTTCCAACTCCTGCTTGAATTGAAGTTAAGGCCACCAGTGGCCCTCAATCCCCCTGGCTTCTCAGTGGATGGACCGTGCCATTCCCCCTTCCTCGCCAGGCAGGTCTGTTGGAATCCTCACGCTCTTATCCCTCCCGATGTGTTAGTTACAAATCAGTAAGTCAGTCATCTCTTCTACCTGCTGGCAGCTCTGGGTTCGATGGGTCAATGGAGAAAATGAGCTATATTTCACTGAGAGGATGAAAATGATTCAATGTGAGGGGGCACAAATTAAGACTAATTTGAATCAGCTGCCACAGCACCGATGGCAGGAGTACCAACAGGAGTGGAGGCGCAGTGGGAAAGAGTGCTGGGCCTGGAATCAGGAAGACTCAAGCTCAGACACTCACTAGCTGTGTGGCCCTGGGCAAGCCCTCCGCCTGCCTCAGTTTCCTCAGCTATATAATGGATATGACAACAGCACCTACCTCCCAGGGTTGTCGCGAGGATCAAATGAGATAAAAATGTGTAAAGTGCTCAGCACAGCACCAAGCACACAGCAAGCCCTCTATAAATAAACTTTCTGCACAATAACACTGTGAGGTAGGTATTTAAGTACTCCTTTCCCTCCTACAGATGTGGAGACTGAGCACCAAGAGGCGATCTGCCCAGAGCCATCCAGCTGTCCTGCTCAGTCCCTGTGGGCACCCATGCTGACTCACCACAGAGCCTCTCGGAGCTAAGTCCTGGACCAGGCTTCCCTCGCATATGGTGACCTTGACGCTACTCTGGTCCCAAGTCTTTGATGCGGCAACGCTTCTACTGTCAACATCATCCCTGAAGGTGGGCAGGGACTAGCACCAGGATCTGCCACGTAGGAGAAGGCTCTGGACACACCCAAATAGGTCTTGAAAATAATATTTCACATTTTCCCCAGTCACACATTCCCTCTCGGCATCCCTGTTTTCGTGGCTCAGTCCAGAAACCTGCCTGACGGGTCCTTGCGCTGATCTGTTGAGTGGTTTAAACAGGGGCCTAGATGCACTTCCACTAGGCAGACATTAAACCTTTTAAAGTTTGATGACATTTTCTATCAAGCTCCCATGGGAGCAGATAAATGCACAAGTGTCAGGCATCACTGACTCTATGAAAGACTAAGTTCATAATTCAAATTACACCTTATTATGCATGAACTAACGTGTCATATTCTGAAATATATGGCATCCCTGCACTCAACAGCCATCCACTCCCTCCACTAGCCCAAATGCGATCTAATCAGCAAATTGAAAGCAAGTTTTTTCTTTCCAGTCATTTCTGGAGTTTACCTAAGGATTAGGTGTCACTTGACAATCAGTGTGACCATGGCCTACAGTTTGCTGCTCAAAATGGGCCTTTGCAGGAGGGTCTAAGGGAGGGAGAAGGAAGGGTCTGACTTGGGAGTCAGAAAGACCTTTTACTAGCCACACAACACAACCCTTAAAACCACCGAGTCACACCATCTTTATCTTAAAATGAGAATAATAATACCTCCCAAGACTACCTCACATCCCAGGGCTGTTATAAAGCTTACAGAATTTACAGAGAGTGTCATGCAAATTTTAAAGAGCTGTGTACAAGCCAACCACCATCATCAAAAGGATGTGTTCACTCCCTTTAAGCCCCCTGAAGGCAGGAGCTCCTCTCTGCCCAACCCAGGGATCAGCAAGGAGTTGGCATTTAATCCATGCCATCAGAATGGACTCAAACCCCCGTCCATCATGCAGAAGGCATAAAGTAGGGTCCTAAAGTCATAGAATTCAGGGCTGCAGCTTCATTTTACACTGTCATGGTCACATGGTAAGCTGACAGCCAATGAGGCCAGGGTTCTTCCTACTGCTCCATGATGCATTTCAAGGCAACGAGCCTCAGACATTAACTACTTAAGCAAGCAACAGAGAAATACATCAATAAGGACCCAATTAACAGCAGCGGGGACACCCCACGACTTACCTTGCTGTCCTTCATTCCTGCTAAATGTTGGATGGCTCCAGATATCCCCACAGCGATATACAGTTCCTGTAACCAAAATGGTGACATCATTAATAGACACTGACACAAAGGAACATTTTCAAAAGCCCAGACCTCACTATTGCCATCACTTTGTGTAATACATCAAAAGATGCACATTACTGCCACAGTAGGCAGTCAGTTCATATGGATTTATTAGGCACCTACTATGTGTCAGAAACCATACTAAGTGCTGGGAATACAAAAAGAGGCCAAAAAATTTTTTTAAAAAAACTAGTTTCTGCCCTCAAAGAGTTTACAATCTAATGAGAGAAACAACATGAAAACAAGTATGTACAAACAAGCTATTTACAGGAAATAATTAAGAGAGGGAAGGCATTCAGATTCAAAAGGATTGCAGAAGGCTTTCTTGTAGGCGGGATTTTAGTAGGGAGTTAAAGGAAGCCAGGAAAGTCAGCAGGTGGAGGCGAGAAGGGAGAACATTCCAGGCATGGAAGACAGCCAGAGAGAATGGCCAGAGCCAAAAGATGGAATGTCTTATTTGTGGAATAGCCAGGAGGCTGCTGTCCCTAGACTGAAAAGTATGTGTTGAGAAGTATGGTGTAAGAAGACTGAAAAGGCAGGAGGGGGCCAGGATATGAAGGGCTCTGAATGCCAAACAGAGCATTTTGCATTTGTGCCTGGAGGCAACAGTGAGCCACTGGAGTTTATTGAGTGGGGAGGGTGTCAACATGACCAGGTCTGCACTTCAGGAAAATCCCTTTGGTGGCTGAATGGAAGATGGACTGGAGTGGGGAGACCCGAGGCAGGCAGATGCCCCCACCCCCAGCAGTTATTATAGTAGTCCAGGTGTGAGGTAATGAGGCTCTGCTCCACATGGCATCTTCCATGTCTCAATAACTAGTTTCCAGAAAATGTTGTGAACCAAGTAAGCCTGTCATCTGTCCTCAAAGCTTTCTCACACCAACAGCACTGCTGTTCACCTGGCTTGAGTCCCCTGTGAACCAGGAGAAGGCACTGGAAGATTTCAGTGGAGTTAGAGTTACCACAGCCAGATGTTAAAATCATGTGTTACAACACGTTGCTTGGACAGAAAAGGACGGATGGGATAAGCACTACTTATATCAATGCCTTCTTCCCTCTGAGCCTTTTTCCCCAGGTGTCCTGGCTCAAGGACCCATGGCCTATGCATCTGGGCTCCTCACCAAGACAAACAGCGGACAGTGTGGCATCAGGAAGAACTGTCCTCAAAGCCCAGGAAGACCTGGGTCCAAATCTAGGCTCTGATGAACACCAGCTATGTGACTGTGCCAATCACCAAAACTCCCAATGCCCTAGGCAACTTTCCAAGACTAAAAGTGGCAGAGAAAGTGCCAACCTCCACTGGTGGAAGGTGTCTCCTTCCCTGGGAGTTCCCTATACCGGTGAAACCACAGGCCCAGGCTCGAATCCTCTCCCTACCCTTCCCTGGGCATTCAATAAATGGTGCCTTGTATTATGAGTTCATTTTCCACATGGGTCCTGCCTGCCTAGGAAGACTGTGAGCCTCTTTCAGGAAGGGACCATCTTCCATCTGCTCTGTGTCCTCAGCACAATGGCTTCAACAAATGTGTTACTAATGATAAAAAGAGGAAAGTCAAGACTGCCTGACATGTCAGAGCTGATCCTTATCTTCTATCTGGATTTTAAAAGCAGCTATATATAAAGACTAAAATAGTAGCTTCACAGAAAACACATTATTTCTTTTAATAAGTACTTAGTGGAGAGAAGTGCTTTTTCCTTACGCCTAACAATGTCACATTTTAAACTCCAACGTTATAACCACTTTTCAACTGTGCCAACAAGCCTTGACTTGGGTGAGGAGAGGAGAAGGTGCATTGAACACATGACCAAACTGCTCCAACTAACAAATAAATAACAAAATCCTCTCACAGCTGACAGTGACATCTCTGCCACAGCATGAATAACACACAAGGGCCCTGCGAGGCGGCTCCAAAGTACATGGTTTTATTAGAAGTTAAAGACTGAGAAACTTCCATTACCATGACACACAGGTGGGCAGTTCTCCCCTGGCAGCGTGCTTTGCACTTTGCCCAGAGAGACCAAGACAGAGGGTGAGAGCAGGAAGCTTTAACGCTGGATCTTTCTCGCAGCACCTCGATATCTGGGGATTGGAGGGAGTCTCTGCTATTCTGTGGGCCTCCATCTCCATACCTAACGGGAGTCTAAAAGATCTCTCCTGATGACATTTTATCATTCTCTCCAATGCACCATGGGCACATCACTGAGTCTGATCTTTGGAAAGCCAATGATTCCAGGGAGTTCTTCAGCTTCCCTACCCAAGCTCAAGTGGTTCCAGGACACAATTAATTCTCCTGAAGGGAATTCCCTATGTCAGGTTATGCCTCCAAATCACTCCAAGATCAGTAACAGCTACTGCTGCCTAAAGGTCTCAAAAAGAGACAGCATGTTGGGGGATGGGAAATACCCAGGAGAAAATGGGGAAAGGTAGGCCAGCTCCTGGCCTCTGGGTGCACTCCTCCCTTGAGTATGTCAAGTGCAAGACTCATGAGCCTACAGTGGCTCAAACCAAGGCAGACCCATCGTAAACCACCAATTGTGCCCAAATGACTGACAGAAGCATACCCGTGTCAGATTAATACATGACTGGTGGAACTGTCAATTAATCCAATCATTCGGGGAAAAACAATTTCAAATCACGCTAAAAAAAAAAACGGCTTAAACACCTACCACTTGTGTATCTTATATCTATCTCATGCTACACACTATACGCCCAAGAAGACAGAAGACAAAGTTCTCATTTTCACCAAAATATTCACAGCAGCATTTTTTTATAGTAGCAAAAAACCAGAAATATTTGGGTGCCCTCCTGGCTCTAGAGGTGGGGGGGGGGGGGGTGTCAAAACCTGCCTCTGACACTACCTGAGCACGCTGATCTCTTTGGGCCTCAGTCTCTTCCCAAAACTGGGTGACCCGGAGGGACCTTCCCATTTTAGATCTACAACAGTATGACCCACATTCTGAAACCGAGGCAATGGGGAAGGGGTGTCAGCATCACCTTCCACAGGAAGCTTTCCTGTTCCCCTCAATCATTAGCCCTCTCCCTGCCCTAACCAGCCCCCTCATCTTTATTTAGTAGTTATTCTGCAAAGCTTCTACACCTGCCCAGGTAGTCTCTCCCTAGACAGCAGGGGATTTATTTCTTGTCATTCACCTCTAGAATCCATAGCAAAACCCCCTGGCCCTGGGAGATGTTCCCAGCTCCACCTCTTCCTACCTTTCTCACTGGTTGTCCCTCCTGCCTAACCACACTCCTCACCACCTCCAGCTTCAGGACTCAGCTAAACTCTGACTTCTGCACTAGGCCTTTGCCAGCCCCCTCCCTGGGGGGGCCAGCCTCAGAGACCAGGTCCTATTTACACCGTAAATATCTTATACATACATAGTTGTCTGCATGTAGTCCCCATTCTCTTTACAAAGTGAAAACCCTGAGGGCAGGGGCTTTTTTTTTTTTTTTGTATCTCTAGTGCATAACAAGATAGCTGGCAGACTATGTACAGAGGACAGTGGAGAGGAGGGAAGGAGGGAGGGAGGGAGGGAGGGAGGGGAAGGGGAGGGAGAGGGAGAGAGAGAGAATAAACATTTGCTCATGAGGACTTTGCGTTCTCCAGGCTGTGAAAAGAGGGTCCTATATAATACTACAAAGCTATCTAGAGAGGTCCAGACACAGACTGCATTCCTCAAAGCCTGATCCATTTTCTCAAGGGCTCATGGCAATTATTAGAGACCATCTACTAAGGTATAGACAGATAGTGGGTGATCCGCCTCAGTGAAGGCAGACCCCACACAGTCAAGTCACCAAGCATTTATTAAGCACCTAGGGTGTGCCAAGCAGTGTGCTTGCTCTCCTGGAGCTCAGTCTAATGGGGAGACAATATGCAAATAACCAGGTCAATACAAAACATATGCAAACTAGATAGGAGGCAATCTGAGAGGGGAAAGCAGTAACAGAGGGATCTGGGATAGGCCTGAGGTGGGATTTCAACTCAGTCTGAAGTCAGGGAAACTAAGGCAGAGATGAGAGGCAAGAAAATGCTAGGTTTGAGGGGCAGCTAGGCACAGGTATGAAGACGGGGGCCGTGTCTCCTACTCATACACGTACACACATGTGGAATCTCACCAGTCACAGTCAAAGTTAGTCTTTAAAAGCAATTAAAAAAAAATCAAGCATGGCCTAAGAGAATCATTGTTATATGTTTTTTACCCTAAAATTCAACATATTTTAAAAGTCTCTCCATACCTTTTCTCTAACCAAAAATGCTAATTCACTCTGATAGCAAACACCCACAGAGAGAAAAATGGAAATTCTGGACAACATAAACGAATCAAGGTCAGGTGCTCCACAAAGATCTGAGCCCTTCTGGACCTTTGCTTGAACAGGTCTGAAAGACTCAAAGTGTCAATTTCTAGTTTACTATTTGAAAATAAGATATTCGTCACAAATGTTTAAGTTGTCCTGTCCTGTCCCCACCCCCACCCCCCCATAAGTCCTGAAACAGCAGATTCTGGGCTTTGTACTGAACCCCCACAGGCTTTCAAGGGAAAGGAAGAGAGTGGTCGGGTCTTTCAAACACAGAGGCAATTAGCTACCAACTCAGGGATGATTTGCTTATGGTTCAAAAAGCATTTTTGTTATTCAATAATAATAATTAGCATTTACAGAGCACTCTACAAATGCTAATTTATGGAGCACTTTAGACACAGCTTCACAAACCTAACCAGACAATCCCTGCCCTGAGGAGCTTACATCCTAAATCAGTCAGACACAAAGTGAGACCATTTGGAGAAAATGAGAGACAATGCTGGAGTGGAGAACGGCAATTAAGGCTTCAAAAGAAGGTGGGATTAAAGGAAACAATCAGGAGGAAGAGGGCATCCTGGGGGGTCTTAGTAGGGATAAGGAAGAAGAGGGAAGGGTGTGGGGGAGGGGAGGGGAGGGGAGCTAAGCCTAGGCGAAGAAGAGCAGG